TGTCAAATATGTCAACATCTGTAATAACGTTGATTTTCAAACATTTTAGGTTGTAAGCAGCTGATGAGAATCTAATGAAATAAAATGAATTCATATTATTCTGCATCAATCTTTGTTCTTGATCTCTTTAATAAATATTTCTGTGTAGTAATCAATAACGAGTTTATTTTTGCAAAAAGTTTTAGTTTATTTCTTCGATAAACTATTGTTCATGATAATTCGATTAGAATTTGAAATTTTGTTTACTTATGAAAATGATTCAACCGCGAAGTAATAAGACACATTTATCCACAAATATGTATGCTTCAAACAAACTCAAATATATACTGACAGTTTATTTCTGCCTTATTTAGTTACCTACAATTAGTAAACTTTAAACCTGAATTGTTTAAAAGAAAGAAATCAGTAGTTTTCTTTTAAAAAAATAACAAGTTACTGTCGTTATTACGGGAAAAATAATCCATTCAATGGACTGATGAACTTTGGTAGATTCGAGTTTTCATAGTAACTTGATAACAATGATGTTATAACTTGTGGTTTGTGTCCTTGGTTCTTTGTTTTCACCCCGTCGCCGATTGTTATAACTTGTGACTTGTGTGCCCTGTTAATGTATGATGTATTGATACTGCCAATTAGAGAGCAGTGAATGACGCATAAAACACGTACGAGCAGTCTAGAGTCTTTATTGATCCTGCTTCCTGCCTAGCTCGGCCAGTTAAGTCAAGAACATCAATCTCAGCCTCTGCAATATGAATCATTTATTTTAATCATACTGGGTTTATATACCAACCAGACAGACCATATCGTACCATAAAATAGGAAACAACACTTGTACAAGACTTAGCCATATGTGGCTGTGAATGAAGGAGATAGTTATTGGTAGACAAGGCATAATTCAAGAATGGTAAATCGTATAATAATAGTTCTTAGGTCAAAATGAAGCTCATATTAAGAGGGACATGAATATGAATAGTTTAGTTATTTAGCAATTATAAGATAAAAATATACGCATAGTATTGGTTCATAAATGGATCCCAAAGTTACAATTCATGGTGCTTTTAGGGACATAACAAGTGAGAAATGTAATTATTATTAATACTAACTGCCTCATTCATTATTATACTTTCGATACAATACAGAATTTTCAGCAAAGTATTTCAACACGTTTCCTTTTTCATATTTCTCGATCGACCCTTGCGATAATTATTAAGTGTTCGCCAATTAGATATTAGCAGTTCAGAAGTGGACATCTGAATAATGTTGATTCTTTTCAATGCATATTGCCAGCTACCACAATGTTTCTGATTGTACCTTTTTCTAAGTTGTAGAGCAAAATGTTGTGAAAAATTGATAAACGCTCCTAAATACGTCATGCGATTACCAGACATAATGATGTGTCAAATCAAACATGAAAACAGATAACTTGTTAAAATAACTAGATGGTAGGAATAAGTAGTTCAGATATCCAACAAGGCCGTCTTATAAATAATTAGATTAATTTCAAGTTTCAGTTTTTCCGCTTTTAAATAGAATGCATTACTGAGATCAATTGTAATTTGATTTTTGCATTAAACCGTCTACAGACTACTATTCAAACCATTCGCTTATGTTTTCGTATTCATCAAAATGTCTGAAATGTGCGAATGATTTTTATACAAAAAATCTTTCAGGCATTTTATAAATTTTTCAAAATGAGAAGAGTTAAAAAAGAATAATTTTTAACTTAAAATGTTTCATCCTTCAATTTTGACATGAAAGTGATGACATTTGTCACACTATTTACACTAATGAACGTTTGGGGCGAAAAAAACAACTAAAAAGTTATTAAATTCACTTGGTGTTGTTATACTTGTGCCTTCTCATTGTTATTTAGGACTGCGAACGGTACTGGGTTTGGGTCGTGGAGTGGACATCAACTCTGGGATGCAGTTACATCCAGCTGACGAGTCACAAATAGGACGAAACGCGCATCCTGGATTCCACTGTTAGCCACCATCCATCTTCGCTTACAAATTTATTGGTTATTAATTGATAAGTGTTTTAAAACCTTCACCAATAAAGCATTTGTAAAACGTATTTAAGCAATACTTTGTCAGCTTAGTTGTGAAGATACTACTCACTTTAGGGTTACTTTTTCCAAGCCTCTTAGTATAATAAACAATGAGCACTTTGTACTGTTGGTCGATATGTTAAGCCGGTACAACATATTCTAGATTCTGGACAGGTCTATTTCTCCATTTGTCTTTACTCACGTTATGAGCTTATTAATTATTAATTTATCAGCCTTGACTGTTTTCATCTGAGCGTATGTGTGTGCACTTCTTATCCTATTTATCAGATGCCTATGGTTTATTTTTGTGTGACTATAAATATCGATTAACGCTTGACTAAATGCAGTTGGCTCACATGAATTCTCCCCTGAGCGTCATTTCGCTCTCTCTTCTGCATTTCCTTAGCTGAGTCTCTCTGATTATCTGTTCTGATCAACGATTGTACAAAATATATGTATTAAGAAATTCATTCTTGTATTTAACTTATTTAATTCCGTTATTCACTAACGCGATCTAAATCGATACTTTTAAACGAAAATAGACAAAATGTATATTTTGACAACAATTAATCATACGATATACATGGAGTCATATCTCGGGCCACTAAAATATGCTTCAGCAATATTCATTATGTAAGGCAAATGTTTTAGAAGATACAACATCAATATATATATATAGAAAAAATGAGCATTTATCCACGCTTTGAATAAAACGAAACACTTTACGAACATTTCATGTCATCTCAAGAAAATCTTATTTTATAAGCTATGAATATCATGAGTAAGCTAAAACTGATTGTCACATGTGCTTAAAGCAGTTGAAATAAATTTTAAAATCCTTACACACAAAATAACTCGAATTCTGTTAGTCATAATTTTTATTCTGCTCAAAATGTTTCTTCAATTCTGAACTGTTGATCTAGTTTCCTAATTTATAAAAAATACTTTTAACTGGTTTATTTCGGCATTCACATTTCAACATTGAAATAGATCTTGATTGAAATCTGGAGGATATTTACTTTAGCCTGAATGATGATTTAAATTTTGTGTGCTTCAGTAAACTATTTATGAATTAATCGTCATGTAATCTTGGTATAATTATATTCCTACATGAGCATTCTTCACTTTATAATTATTAATTATACATTGCATTCTGAATCATTACAATAGAGACGGGTATCTACCTCAGTAAAATGGAAGATAGTCTCTCATTTTCGTGGATTAGTTGAGGTTAAACATTAACACCGTTGGATTCTAGATCAGTAGTTTAGATGTTAAGCGTTCACTTGCGAGACAAATAAGCCCTGGATTCGAATCCCGCTCGCCGATTTGTGGACACACCTTGCTGAGAAGTCCCACAATAGAACGAAACAACCGTTCAATGCTTCCAGGTTTTCAATGATGGTCTAACATCAATCAGTTCATGATCTCAATCAAAAACAATATTTTCTATTTAAACATTGAAATTACACATTTTAAGTAATCTATACGCAATATGATTATTCACAGTAAACAACTCATGCCTTATCCTTCAAGACTTGAATTCCCATTTGAAACTTACTGGGTCTGATAGTTTAATCTTGACATTTTGATCGTTTTAGTAATGTACGCTTTTATTAATCACCAGAACATAAGAAGTGAATAAATTATCATCAAATATAACCGCAAAAAAATGTTGTTTATTCAAAATAGCAAAATCATTTGTATACATGGTTACATAAACAGTTATTTGTTGAGTATTTAACATATTACCATAATTGTGTTCAAGTGACTCAATAAAATGATCTATTGTATACTATTAAAAGAAAACATGATCTCGACAAATAAGAATCTAGATGTTAATAAATCATTCATTAATAGTTAAACTTATCTTTTGAACAATTTATCATTTTTGACTTTCAATGAAAGTAATCTTCATCAATTGATCCTGTTAATTAGGAAAGTTCTTCACCTTATTGATAAGTGAATAAGAGATTTATTAATAGTTTTTTCAAAAAAATAATAACATTAACATTTTACAGATAATTCCCATTTCAAACAATAAAATTAAAACACGAAGTTCATCGAAGGGATCTCTTTTCAACGAATTAATTATCAAGTTGTACAATTGTATATTTATGAAGAAAGTACTAATTCCGTGAGGAAATGTGAACACGTATAACCAAGATGACGTATTAGAAAGATTATAATACTAGATTACGTAATACCGGTAATAACAATAGATTTAGTGAATAGAATAAGATGATTAAAATGTTGTTGTTACTATAATTAAAGGTCATAGAGTTGTAAAAATAAATAAGGTGATATGATGAGTATTTATGAATAAAATAATGACAATGTAAGACATAAATAAAGGGGAATGCAGTAATAATAATAGGAAAATCAAAATAATTAAGGCCAATGTAACGATAACAATAAGACGTACTTCATTTGTACGCATAGTTCTGGTTTAAGCTCCTGGCTGATAAGAGCTTTGCCTATTTTTAAGAGTTGGATACGAAGAAATCCGGGTAGATTTGAACAAATCATATAAACAAACTTAAAATTGTAGATCTGTAGAATGGTTACAGTTGATTAGGTGTTCAAGTATAGAACTCTTAACTGCTTTCCTTTCATCCTCATAAAACTAAGCTGAGATATGTTCCCGTATCCAAGTTGAAAGCGGGCGCTGGCTACGTGTGTTCACATTTCCTCGCGGAATTAGTACTTTTTCTCATATATATATATATATATATATATATATATATATATATATATATATATATATATATATATATATATATATATATATATATATATATATATACATATACGATTGTATAGCTTGATAATAAATTCGTTGAAAAGAGATCCCTTCGCTAAACTTCGTGTTTTAATTCACATTTTAATTCATATTACCCACTGTCAGTCTGCTGAAGTTGTAGTTTTGTTTTTTTTTTACTTTCAAACATCAAAATTCATACATTAAAACTGTAAATAATAATGAAATATATATGATGATAATATTAATATACAATTTATGACAATGATTGTTTATCTTTTTTGTAGTTGTTTTTAATAAAATAGAATTTGAATTCATATTGGCATAGTTACTACGTTTTGTATTTTTTATATCTTTTTGTTGATTATATAAAGATTTTTGTGAACTTTTATTGATTTCATTCAATTTGATTGGATTTAAATTAGTTTCTATGTCAATATTATGTGAATCATTTATAATGTAATCAGTTTGATTTGATTTATTGATCATATTTGATATTAAATGTTTAGAAATATTAATTGTTGTTTGTTCACATCCATATGGTAAAGTTTCTCTGAAATAATTTTGAATTAATTCAATTATATCACTAGAACAATGATATTCAAGTATTTTCTTGATACAATTAACTTTTGTGATAGTTCCACTAGACAAAAAAAAGGTGATAGAAAGAAGTATTGTAGTGAACAAGAATACCAGTGGGGACAATCGAATGTATATAATATGCTTTGTTGTTATATGAACGTTTAATGAACTTGATATAATGTTTCCATATAAATAAAGAAACAGAAATTACAAAATTATATATATCATATATATAAACGGGAAATGTTTATGTTTCAAACAGAATCATAAAGTTATCTGGCTTATAATGTAAACAGTTTGAATCGAATAGTCTCAATGATTAATTGACTTGGTAACCATTAGTTTCCATAGCATTCGATAACAAATTAATTTTCAGTAAGTCGATAATAATAATAATAATAAATTTATCATACCTTACGACAATGTTTTATAAGTTGAGACATTTATATGGACACTTCTATTTCAAATCACGTAACATAAATTTAGCAAAAGAGAAAAAAATGTTTGGGATCTCCAGTTTAGTACTTGATATTTAATACATTGTTACTATAGTAGAAAGAACTGATTAAGCAATGATTGAGACCTTTCCAAAAATCAAATTATTGATCCAAATCAATCAATTTTAATATTATGCTTTATAAATATATAATATCTGCTAAGTGATGTTATAAATATGAAAAACATTTAGGTTAATAAGAGTGTTTATAACAGACGAGTTACTTAAACTGAAGACATTTGTCTAGGGAAAGAAAGATACTGTCGTGAACAGAGTATCAGTGGGGACAATCGATTTTATTTGATGCAAAATTACAGGACCTGTTAATAAAATCTAACAATCAAATAGTAAATACGTAATTTGCAAAATGTCCATCAGTTGTCTCATAATGACTCAGACTTCATTGTTCCTGTATTTCTATACAAATTGCATTCTGTTTCCATTCTTTACTGTTCGACCGTCTTGTCTCTCTGCTGCCAGACATTCTGTTCACGATTAACATCATCTACTACTTATTTCAATATAAGTAACACACACCACAGTATTATTTGATAATAAAATACAACATGATTGAAAGAAATAATCGTAAACGGACTTTAGTTACAGAATCTCTGAAAATAAACAACCATCAAACAATTAACTACATTTAACCTGAATCTCTAGCTGTTGTTAGTTCGTTATTAAAACTAGTCTAAAAGTTACGACATTTTCCATAGGACTATTAGAATAATCATAAAAGTTTATTTATAGAATGAACATAATGTTTAATAAGTTTTTCTGAGGTTTGATAACGTCACTGTATTCAGTCTTTTACAGAGGAAGCCAGAACTCTGATCCGCTCTATTTAGGACTCGTCAGCTGAACCTCTTCACATTCGATCTGACCTCAGTGAACTTTAAAACCCCATTGGTTGTTGAAAGAGAAGGATACTGGATACAATTCTTTTATGTATATCAACCCTAAGAAACAGGCACATGTAGGAGACGAATCCCGAATAAGATAAAACTGGGATCTTGGAACTCACTGCCAATCATAATTCAACTTTTCTTTAAAACTATGATGAAACTGTAATACCATGGTGAAGCACACATGATGGACACATAGCAATTAAAACTGGTTAAAATCCTGTCAAGAACACAAACAATGAGAAAATTGAAGTCATTCCTTTTGAAGCTACGTCTAATTATGCTATTTTGAAAGTTAATCAAAGCTTCGCAATTGAATCATCTGACTAAAAAAATGAAATTATACTAATATTAGATATTTGACCTACTGAGCCTCACCATCAAATTAGAAGTTGTATAAAGTTTTTCAACTTACGTACAATATGTTGAACGTAACACTGATTTCATGTAATTGGCATATTCATCGGCATTGCGTGAGTTCACTGGATTACTATTAGCCAACTGCAAATATGTTTGAGACAAAAGGTTTGAATATTGTTTGGAACAGTTTTCAACTTGAGACTCATATACGGAAAGACATTTATCGCGATGGTATCTGAAAACTGTATGCAATAATAAAAAGACAAATATCACAAAAGTGTAAAGAATAATTAAAATTTAATGTAATATTGCATACTCTGCAAAGATCACTTTTAGCAGTGAAAATAAGACTTGATCCGTGAATTGTTTACTAATTTAGAATAACTTCAGAATATAATGTTGAAGATTGGAGACTACAAGCGGTGAATTGTTATTCTAATCAAAACTATTCTATTTGATCTGTTTTTTGCCACCCAGATGAGAAATTAAACATTGAGTATACTTGATACTTTATCCCCAAATAAAATTACTCGACAACAGCATTTATCCAAAATTTGTGTCGAGATCTACGGTTTTATGAACAATTACATTGTACTTAAAAGCTCTAAGGAGAAAACATTTAAAATTCAAAATTGTACTTTATCAGCGATTGAACAGCCACTTATTTCTTTTCTAACTCGTTGAATGTAATCACATTGTAGTCATATATCCAATACGACCGTTTAGTGTAAGGTAACCTGTTCAAACTTAATTGTTACTCTTCAGTGAACGAACGGTTTAATTATAATTATTGACTATGTTTATGACAAACATTGATAAATAGCTTTGAACATTTAGTAAATTCAGAGTAATCGCTCTCTTTTCTTTAGTTTTTTATCTGACTCTACTTCGTGACGAAAACTCTCTTCATCTTAAAATCAGTCTCTTCAGTCTATTTTAATAACTTAAATCACAATGGTTGGAGACTAATTCGATTCTTTTTATTCCCAAACTAATTAATTAGGATAATCTCGGCTTTTACAAAAGAATGAGAGCAACCTTTCTGCTACTAGCTTTACAGAGCCATTAAAGTAAAAACAAAAACTATACAGTTGTGATTTTAAAAATTCATCAACACTTAAGTAACGAAATACTCAACACTCATCATTGTTGTGTATACATAGAAGTCGTTAAATTATCTAGTTCATTTGTTTATAAATGATCTATGAAGAAATAAATTGATCATTAACAGAATATTATTGAACTCACGTACTACGTAGATTATATTGTTGACATAAATAATTTGCTGCTTTTTCATAAGGTGTCGTATCAAAAATAAATTGCCACATTACATTTCTAAAATGAGAAGTCGATTCGGGTGAGCAACGATTTAGAATAGTTAACTGAGCACATGAATACACTTTGATATGCCATTTTGTTCTGAATTAATAAAATAAACAAGAATATTAAATTAACAACAAGAAATATTCTGATTGACAATGATCATCAACCAGTATAATAACTTATTAATTGTGAGAAGCTATGCAGTACAAATGTTTTTAAAGACCAACGTCCACTACTAGTATAACAGTGACATCATTTCAGAATCCATTCCTGAATATTATAGAGGTTAAACAATCATATAGCAGCTTACTGTGTCAAAATATATAGGATATTCAGATTATTTTTGTGAATGGTTATCCATGGGGTATTTCATATATATAAATGGAACAGGTGACTATTGCTTCTTAATATGTAATGGTAATAGTAGTAGTGATGTAGTGAACAAGAACATGGGTGGGGACAATCGAATGTATCAAGCATAACAATTACAGACTACCTCAATAAAATCTGAATACCATGTAGTAAATCGTCAATTTCTAAAATATTCATGCATCAAATCAAACTGGACTGTTTCTGTTACAAACACCAATCCATTGTCTCCCATTCCATTGTTCATGCGTTTTCTTACGAATTCCATTTGTGTTTTCGCTCTTCTTCCCCTCATCTTCTGTTGCCAGACATTACGTTTTAACTCGCGTCATATACTACTCATATCAAAATAAGTAGCTCACACCACAGTAATTTATAAAATGTCAAAGAAAGCAATAAAACTGTCATATATACATATTATATGTATCTTGACACTAATCTGTCCATTGTAACTGAAATGTTTACCAAACTTACTTTCCATCTTTTTACCGCATAACAGCTAATCGCTCAATAAATAATCAATTCCAGTCAAGATAACTTAAAACTAATTATAAATTAATTAGAAGATACACTTCTAACAGAATCCAAATGTAATAAAAATACAAAATGACACGAAAGTTGTTAGCAGTATGCATTTCACGTCTTATATAAACATAATTTACAAATTTTTTAATCATGTTTTTTATATCCATTATCTGTTTTCACGTCTCATTCTGGAATCTGCATTTCAGGATGATCTAATACCTTCCATTAGTGTAGAGTTATTTGTACTAAAGCAGGAAGCAGATAATCACTATGGTATTTTATTGAATGATGTGTTTATGAATTTTTGTGACAGTATTGCTGTCAAACCGTCTATACAACATTGTGTTTTTAAAATGAAGTAAATTTGACATTTATAGAAAATAAAAGTAAAAAAAAAATTAGTTGTTATCTGTAAAATAACAAAAATCAACTTGACCGTTTGTGTTTACATGAATTTGGCTTATTACTTAACCGTCATCAGACACCGATAAGTGGTTTAATTTAATTTCAATGTAATTGAAGTACTAGTCATTTAATTGAGTACATATACGTAACACAATTAACGTGTTTCTGTATTCAATCATAAAATTATTAAAACCTCCACAAAATCCCTTCTGATAATAATCATCTGCTCACTAGTGACTGACTTCAAGAGGCATTTCCTGGAGTTCTAGTGATAAGTCGTTACCGGTAGATTTTAACAAAGTCTGTTGTGTGATATCACCTCATTGATGGCAAAAGTGGATGTGTCGCTCAATTTCATGGATTGATTGAAGTCAGACATTAACGCCGTCGGATGCCAACCGGCTCAGTGGTCTAGTGGTCAAGTGTTCGCGCGCGAGACTGATAGGTCCTGGGTTAGAATCTCGCAGAGGGACAGGATCGTGAATGCGAACTGTTGAGGCGCCCCATACTAGGACGAAACGGCCATCCATTACTTCCAGGTTTTGCATGGTGGTCTAGCTTCAATTGACTGATGATCTCAACTATTGAAATTACTAAAATTTCCACAAAACTCCTTCTGATAATAATTATCAAGATTATTTAGTACAAGTTACATATAAAAGTTAGTGAAATTACATGCAAAATATTTACCGACACATTTGTTCCACATCACCGATTGAACCAAAACCAAATCCAAACCCTTCATATTTTTCTGGAATTCTTTTAACTCCAGCCAATTTTGCACAGTTATTCAAATCGTTTATATGGAGTACACAATCGTTACAATTACCATATTTGAATATAAATAGATAGAATACTAAACAGATACAGAATTTCCAATAGAAATGTGTCAACATATGTACAGTATGAAAAATATACATTTATTTTAGTTGATCTATTAGTTTGATGAAACTGTTACTATTCCTTTATTCCTAATGAAATTTATATATTTCATACCTGACATATATTAATATTCTTCATGAACCACTTTGTGTGTTTTGAGCATTCTGGTATTCTGAAATTGAGATTAAAAAACACAACTACAGTAATTATGTAAAAAGAATTGGAAATAAATTAAGTAAATCAAAATGGGGATTTGTGGAGGTTGTAATAAATTTAATAGTTAAATTCATGAGTCGATTTAAACTAGATCATCATTGAAAACCTAGAAGCGATGGATGACCGCTCTGTCCTAGTATGGGACTCTTTAACAGTGCACATCCACGATCTAAGGATCTTTGGTCTCGTGTGCGAACGAATAACCCCTAGACCACTGAATGGTGTTAATCGATCCATGATGTCGCACGATTATTCATTTATTGTCTGAGATGGATAACTATTTCCATATGATATAGATTGAACTACTGAGGAGTCGTATACTAGAACGTAAAAGCCATCCAGTGCTTCCAAGTCTTCAATAGTGATCTAATTTAGATCGACTCATGAATTCAACCATTAAAACTAAGTGTTTATGATTTATGTAGAAAAAATCAACAAGTTGTTTTAGTTGTCACTTGTACAACGTAAATTGAAAATAATTTAATTTACATTGTAGTGATTTTGAATGCAACTTATTATAATTTTTTCTACTTAATTGTCATGATAATATGGTTTGTAGTTGTGTTTTTTTATTAAGATCGTTATATTTAGTTAAGTTTATTGATAAAGAAATGAAATCAACATTTGTAGTGAACAATAACTGTAAAATTTCATATTAACTAAACTACTTATTCGACGATGTAAGCAGTTATGTTACAAACTGTTATGAAGATAACATGAATGAATAGTAGTATTTAAATACGGACAATTTGAGATCACTGGCCGCTATAAAACGGTAATTATAATATCAAAGAGTAGTGTACTCTCTATGAAACCTGGTGTGTATGTGATGCTGATCACCATTCTATGAAGGAACAACTGTCCAGTGTTTTGTTGGTTTGCATCAGTTTACTAATAGCTGATGTCAATTCTTAATGAAAATTCACTTTAATTCAAGCAGACTAAAAGGTTTTAACAACAATATATTTATATTATTCTGAGTATAAAAATTCATTGGTCATAATAAATTAGCTCTTCGTTGTTCCACACCTTTTCACTTGATTAAGCAATAAAATAAAGATCGGTTTTCTAAATCCAACGTACATCATGAGAAAAAATGTATAAAGAAGGTATTATTGATTAATTTCTTATTAAAAATTTGAATTTTGAATGTTTATCAGCTTTTTCTACAAGTAATTCGTTGATACTCATCAATAACCACTAACATCTTCAGTTACTCGTTTTGCCCTATTTGAATATAAACCTGTTTTTGTTTATGATACTCTACAATTATGTGTTTCTGTTGTTTCATTTTGATTCACACTCAAATGATTTTGGATTAAATTAATCATGATTATGTTCTAATAAGACTTTCATAAGTCAATACTATTTACAAAATCAGAACTGTCAATTTACTAAAGATGATTTACAGTTTTGAATAGTCGAGGAGACATTCTTTGGCACATCGTATAGTTCTGTTTAAATATTAACCAAACAAAAGATGAACCACCAAGCAAATAAATGTTTCTCTATATCATGACATGACATTAATATTTAAATTCCATAGTTGATTGTTGGCCTAATTATAATCAAGCTAAAAGATGAATTAATTGGTCTTGTGTATTTCTCCACATTGTTCATTTATCGAGTTAGTCTCGACTTCATATTTTATAAAATTTTAAATATTTTAAGTAAGTTAGGTTATTTTAATTAAAGATTTACATTGAACTGTACTGATCATCTTGTTTTATGAAGTGGAAATGGCTTGAGAAATATACGCACACATAACTAGTCTTTTTATATATCTTAATCAATTAGTTCCCTTGATAAATTACGTTAGTGTAATAAGAAGAGGAAGATTATCAAAACTATATGATATATTGGCGTAGTCCATTTCGAACTAAGGTTTATTGAAGCCTTAGACATAGTAAAACTCAACCCCCCTCCTTTGTGTATTTGAAAAAAAATTTTCTCACCTTAAAATTATCTTGGTGATATTAGCTTATTACCCAGAGTGATGAAGTTCCAATTTTTTTAACATTATTTTCTTCATTATTCTTATCTCCTTTTGCCCTCCATTTCAAGTCTAGTCAAGTCAATACGCTTACGATGCACATATCCCAGCAAGAGACTGATAAGTTGCAGTCCAGAACATCAATGGCAAGATCCAAGTAAACAAGTAAACTTCACCCCATTGCATAAGCAGGTGGCTATTAAAACTCAGTAGCTAAGTGGATAACGCGATAGAGTTTGAGGCGAACGGTACTGGGTTTGAGTCCTGAAGTGAACATCAACTCTGAGATGCAGGTACATCCAACTGACGAGTCCCAAATAGGACGAAACGCGCGTCGTGGATTCCACTGCTAGCCACTATTCATCTTTGCTTATAATGCTTGTGAATTAAGGTAATATCAAGGCAATACGCACAGCATACACATATGACAATAAGAAACTAATCAATTGCAGTTCTAAACATCAATGAGAAGATTCAATTTAACTATACCATGTGAATGTATTTGACTGTTTATTTGTATATCATTGAATAAGGTAAATGCTTTAGTTTATAATGAACTAATATCTAAATCCTGATTTAATTGTCATTATGCCTATATTCGATACAAGCATATATATGCAAAACATTTCATGATGTAATATTCCGATATACACTTATTCAAGTCCTCTATAATCAATAATTTGAAGAAAATAACATGATAATTACCCTTGTTCATAAGTTTAAAAAAATCTTTATTAATATAGTTAACTTGGAGTTGAGACATTCATAAATCCTTTAATAGTTGCAAGTACCTTTTAAAGTAAACATTAAATTGTTTGATGTTTTATTTTTATTATGATCACTTGAATGATCCATTATATGCCCCCCATAAACATAACATTTTTCAATAGATTTAAGGGTCAAGTATTTTTTTAAAAATCTTTAGTCTATGGATATTTAATTGTAAATATTGTTTTCTATTATAATTATAATCACTAAAATAAATCATTTTAACCCCAATATTTAAATAGAATTTATCCTAGTAAGAAAGTATAATGGAATAAATAGAGCAAGAACAAAGATTGGTGCAGAATAATATGAATTCATTTTATTTCGTCAGGTCCTCATCAACTGCTTACAATCTAAATTATTTGAAAATCAAATTATTACAGATATTGACATATTTATACATAAGAGTGTGATTAAGGATGAATACATGAGTATGATGATGTAGCAAAGATTCAGATAGAGTTAATGAGCTCATAAAATGTTTGATTCAAATAAATAAATAAAGTTTGAGAGGGAAAGTTCCGAAACATTGAAATAGTGATTAGAACTCATGAAAATAAATTAATGGTAATAAAGAAAATTTGAATTGAAATCAATCATTTATGTATGATTTAATTTAAACTTCAGAAAGAGTTGCAATAATGACGCCATAAATAAATAAATAGGAGTAAATTAATAGAAAGGGTGGGGGTTATTGTTTCCAGGGTAAAGAAAGATTTATTACTGTCTCTTTTTATATACATAGATCTGGTTTTAAACGTTTGATTACTAACGCTTCAGCGAATTTCAATAGGTTGGAGTTTGATTGTTTGTTAATCACCTTGAAGGACTTCAATATATCAACTTCATGTCCTGTATCAAGGAGATATCTTGCGATAGCACTGTTGAATGCGTTCAATCCATTTAACCTTAAAATTTTCGGAATATGTTCTTTGAATCGGACGTAGGCTCTCCTTTCTGTTCTACCAATGTAACTGCTTTGGCAGGTACATGTAAAATTGTACACACAGTTGGTGGTAACATGAAAGGGATACCTGTCGACCTTAGATTGTGTCAAAGAACATGTTGTTTTGAACAGGACAATCAATTTAGCTACAGGATAAGTTCTTGTCAATACAGGTTTTAGTCTCATATTGATTAATCCTGTGATATCGTCACCTTTGAATTGAAGTTGAATAATTGTATCCTTTTATAAACATTTTATGAATCTATCAGTAATATAAATAACCTGAATAGTAATAATAGCAATCAAACATCTAAAACTAGATCTATGTATTCAAAAAGAGACAGTAATAGATCTTTCTTTGCCCTGGTAACATCAACCCCCCCCATCTTTTGTTTATTATGTCATTCATTATTTCAACTCTTTCTGAAGTTTAAAATTCATATCATTGTCATTTTTCTTTAATTCATAATTGACTGATCTCAATTCATATCTTTCTTTCTTACCATTAATCTATTTTCAGTTTCTTAATTATACAATTATCTGATGTTTGTTAATTCCATGAGTTCTAATCACTATTTCAATGTTATGGAACTTTCCCTTGCAAACTTTATTTATTCGACCTCATTAACTCTATCCGAATCTTTGCTACACTATGATACATTTATTCATCTTTCATTACCCTTGTATGTATAAATATGTCAATAACTGTAATAACGTTGATTTTCAAATATTTTAGGTTGTAATCAGCTGATGAGCACCTAACGAAATAATATGGATTTATATTATTCTGCACCAATCTTCATTCTTGCTCTCTTTATGATAATTAAGGGACCAATGTTTATGAAATATCATTATACTTATTAATATAAGTAGATTTAAACAAGTGCAATATTTTGATCTGATAGTTGTTAATTTAAGACCGTTTGGCTTATACAAGTTTCAGTTTTTCACTGTTGAATTGTATTTTAAATCATCTTCTTATGAATAACTTTTAGATCATTTAAAGTTTCCTTTTATGATTCATCGTAAACAAACAAATTTTATGGATAATTGATTTATCAAACAAACTATTATCTTATCATATTGTATTCAGACGATAACAAGGTTCATAGAAA